AGATACGGCTCGAGAAGCTGACTCAGATAAGGAAATATTGTGATATTATGTGATCGATGATCTGATTGATGATGTGATATCAGTGTGATATGAATGATAAGTGCGGCACGTCGGCGTCTTCTCTGCATAGGCAGTTTAAACTGTATTTCCTTTATCCTGTAATATGACTTGATAGATTTAAACTCCACACACTGAGCTCTGATTGGTCAGCAGGCGGTGCTTTCACTGAGTTGATCTCTTTTCTATAGACGCCGGAGGCGGGCAGCGTCAGGTAAAAAAAGGTTATTTAGCCTTCCCAAACCTGAGCCTCACGCGCCGCCTATGCAAATAGAAATTAAAGTTGAGGCCTTAAAAAACAAAAACAATGAGCTGAATAACTTAAGTGATACATCTCTTTGTGACCCCTTTTACATTACACAGGATCATTTAATTTAATATTTTATATCAATAGTTAATGTATCACTAAGAACTAGCTTTTTATTAAACACTGTCATAGAGGTAAGTGTACCTGTCTTTATCAACATTTAGTGTCTTTGGCCATCTATCTTTAGTTTTGTGTTGTGCGTGCGGCCCAATCCTTTTTTTAAAGTAAAAACAGAAATAGTTTGACTGTAAGCAAAGCAAACCAGCTATGGGTACATTTTCTGCAGCATGAGTGATTACTTGTAAAGTTTCAAACAGGAGCTACTTTGATGTTGTTGTGTATACTTTTATCTGCAGGCTGCAACAAAGACAGAAGAGTGACAAATTCACCGCATCAAGTTGGAGGTTTGACTTTATTATCTGCACTCACTGTAACGAAAACACCAACACTGCAGGACAAAACCCAGACTTCTTCTCTTACTGGGGCTCATGTGGTCATACTTGTTTGATGTTTGGTTATATGAATCGAAACTCACGGACTAGCAGATAAGGAACTGCTACAATGGAAATGCAGAAATGTCTCTTATTTGATATATAACAGAACACAGGTAAGCGACACAGCTATGATCAAACCACGGAAAAATCAATCTTGGTGTATATGTGCAATATAATATACTGTGCAGCTGGTCTTCCATGTTGCGTTAACTATAAGAAAAATGTGCAGTATTTATTGTTCTTTAACTTGTAACGTGTCAAAACTTTAAGAAATAAATACGACATTTCTTGAGTAAGAAACAACCTTGTTAATGGCCGTTGTTTGAATAAGGTTAATTCATCCAACTGGAATCACTTTTTGGAATAATTCACATTTGGTGCTGAGGTGTTTTTAATGGATTTCGGACAAGAATGGAGCTCTATAGCACGGAGATAGAAGATATACTGTATGTTGGTCCTTTCGTGGGATTTGATAGTATTATAACCCGCAGAGGGAGCCAGAGGACTGCCTTTGGTGTGACAAAGTTCCCTGTTTCAATTTGAATTCAAGTGTGTTGGTTTTATAATACTGATAAAGGGGAGGATATTGTAGTGAGAAACGATACAGAGTAAACCTCTAGTATGGTTTACAATATCTTAATTAAACTGAAACAGAGCAACATATGTCAGCGGAAATAAAACCTTTCATTTGTAAATGATCAAATTACGTCAGTTGGGTTATCATATTATGATAATTGCCTATCACTGTACACACTGCATTATGTACTGCATACTAAAACATCTTTATTAATGCATCAATTAAAAAAGTCATACCTGCATTTATAAAGTATTGGCTGTTTATTGTAAGATATGTGTGGCATCCTAAAACTGTTATTTTCCAACAGCTTGGATGCTACAGTGACCTCCTGTTGGCCTAGTTGGATGCTTATGATTGCACATTGATAACCTACATTATACAAGTCCATATTAGCTCAGAGTTTACAAAAGTGAAAAAAGGGTCATGCAGATCTGATTTAAAGAGGGCCTATTGTGCTTTTAGGGGTTTTCCCTTTCCTGTAGTGTGTCATATAGGTTTGTGTGCATGTAAATGGTCTGCAAAGGCTGAAATACCAAAGTCAATGCCAGTTTCTCTCCAACACCCCCCCCCCCCACACACACACCTGAAACGCCTTCATTGGACTCCTTTGCTTACTTCCGTAACATAGTGAAATCACTATGTGACACTCGCGTTTCTATTGGCTAGCGATCCAAAACATTGTCCAGGCTACGGGGCGAAACATCTCAAGTGGTTGACGAATCATAACAGAGCCGGCCAGGTAACCAATCAGAGCAGACTGGGCTCTGGTTTCAGACAGAGGGTGAAAAGAGGTGCTGCAGCACAGGCAGTATGAGACAAATAAAGATCTTTTTGAATATTAGAGCAAAAGATTCACTAACGATAGGATGGAGAAGTGGAATCCAAACAGCCAGTCAGCTGAGTCGATACACGAATGACAGATTTGCTGGATGTGTAAGTGTCAAATACAAACTACAATGCTCTGATGCAGACGATCATTAACCTCACTATGATATTGTCACCCAGGTGCCTCATATGTCATGTACATACTATATCCCAAATATGATCAAAGCCTAGATAATAATGTCTATGTATAGCATCGACTTTTCCCAAGATGTCTCACATGACGTGACTAAGTGTGACATGAATTAAATGTGAGTTATTCTGGTTGAGAAAAAAGTCACTTACTCTTCTTCACTCACCCCCTGATCTTTGGGTTCTGTATTCATGCAGACTTTAACAGATTTGATTAAACTCCACACCTGCTTCAGTTTTTTCAAGACAACTTTCACACCTTGCTCCAATTTTCACCTCTCTTCCCCCCACCGCTGCTGCTGCTGACGTCCATGATAAGAACAAGTGTATTTTATCACTACATGATATCATCGTCTGCAAGGGAACTTTTCCCTTCCAATCCAATTTGAAAGAGACACTAAACGGTTAGATACAAAAAACTACTTCAAAGAGACACAAAAAGACTACAAATACATGTAAAGCGATCGGGAAAAGAGGCAAAATAACAACCAAGGCACACAAAACCATCAGAATGAGACACAGAATGATCAGAATTGAACCCAAAATATCTTAAAAGTGATGCAAAATGAGCAGAATGAGACCCAAAAGGTCTAAAAAAGAATGCACAATGACCACAATGAGACCCAAAACAACTACATTGTTAAAAACGATGCAGCCACGTCATGTTTTGTGTACAGTGTGTAGAAACGTTGGGCCCGTTGCTTGTGTCCAGGGGCTTATTGTCTCAGTCCGTCCATGCGATGAATGTAGTTTTAAAATTGGCATCGGAATGTAGCTCATCCAAAATGTTAAATGAAAGGTCTGTTTGCTCAGCGTGATGCCGTCTGGCACATGAAGTTATCTCAGATAAAAAGACAAGATAGTTTGACAACATCGACCTCCAACAGAGCTGACAACATTACAGCCGAAGGCCACTGGAACATTTATAAAGATGACACCATTTATTAGAAAGGTTTCCACATAAAACGTGGATATGGCATACAATAGGCACAGTCAGTAACCAAACTATAAACTGTGGTGACAGGCAGCAATGGCTTCAATTTAAGCCAGCCTGCCACCCGGGATATTTTCCATTTCAAAACAGAACCACTTTTTTTACAAAACTTTACACAAGGATATAATTACTCTAATTCGCAGTGTTATCAAGACACAATCTGGAAATGCTTCACTTACATTTTGTTTTGTACATTATAGCAACAAACATTTAATTCATTATCATGTAAACATTAAAAAGCAAACTATCTGATATTCATCATCACTGAGTAAACAAATACAATTAATTTGTCTACAGTGTAGCTGATTTTACACACGTACTGTAATATTATGCTATGTATTTACGTAGCAAAAGAAAATGAGATGACTCAAAATTGGAAATTAGCGTCACCATGACAACAAATATTTTGAAACACTTTCTCGTTTAGTATGTTATTTGACCAACATCCATTGGTGTTCGTAGACATAATAAATGTTTCCTTTAAAAAAGGAAAAGTGTTATCATGACAACACCATTTTTCTTTTCATTTCAATACAATAAGATCAGGTTGTTAAGCAAGACAAGTCTGATGTTATTCAAATGTTTTGAGTAGATTTTCTGTAGCAATGATAAAGGTCTTAAACGTACAGAAAGCTGCATCACAATTTCACATGTGGCAATAATGAGAAGTATATGTTGAACATGAAAATAATGAACCATAACCTGTTTTAGTATTTATTTTTTTGTTTTGTGGTGGCAGGAGTTAACTGCCATAGTAAAACAGTTAGTGGGTAGATAAACTTTCCTTTTTGCTAAGTGAGGAAATAGTTGAAACTCAGGGACTCCTCAGCCTCTGTGTTGATGAGTGTAACTCAAGGTTCACTGAGAAGGAGTTTAAATATAAAACAGAAATGAGATATATTAATCCCACGAACTCCTCAGAAGAGTTTCTCTTCTGTTATGACAAGACTAAAAAATCATTCTATGAATGTTAAGGCATGATGCTACTTAATATTGTATGAATGTTTCTTTTCATCAAAACAATGCTCAAATTACTAGAAAAAGTTACGGTGGGCGGGTTCAAACTGTGCCATGTTTCCCATTATAAACCATTTTACCGATTCAACACTCAGAGACAGTCAGTGATCCAAGGCAGGGAAGTGTGAGTTGTCTGGAGGAAGCTGACCTTTAAGTCCTCTGAAGGGAAACTCCACATCTCTCATACCTCTTTATGTCACACTTCAGATTCCTGGTAGATATTTTGTTGATGAAGCGTAGTGTTAGCACTTTTCTTTGACCAACTTTCTTGTTGTTGTATCCCATTGGGGATTTTGGGCATTTCCCAAAAATAATAATAAAACTGATATAAATGTTTAGTTCAGAAACAGAACATTTGAAGAATTCCTCTTTTTCTTTGTCTTGCCAAGAACTGGATAAGACTTTTGATACCACTGTCCGACAGCCAGGAGACAGATAGCTTAGCTAAGCATAAAGACTGGAGACTAGGAAACAGCTAGCCTGGAGTCTTCACTAGTTTCTACTAAGTTACTATCTCAACCCAAGAAGTAGTCCATGCCTTGTTTTATTACATTTTAAGCTTGAATTGATGTTTGGACATTTTCGTTTTCAATTGTTGTTGTTGTGTGTGTGGATCAGTTTGGATTACACAAGTTAGACACATTCCTACAGAGGCACGGCTGGAATCAAATCTTAAATATATTAGATACTAATGAAATCCCTGTTGAAATACTGGGTTTTAACAGGATTAATATGCAAAGAAAAGTACATGAAAGCTGTGCAGCATTGAAATGTGTATTAAGAATCCGAATGTGAATGTTTTACCCTCTGTAAAACTACACATAAAAAAAAAAAAGTGTTTTTATATGATTTAACTAAAGATTGAATTAAAGATTTAACATGTTAGGCCTGAGAGGTGTTGGCAAGCAATTGGCACAATCTGTTTCATTTATCTCCAGTCTTTTGGCCAAGCTAAGCCAATCAGCTGCTTACTGTAGCTTCATATTACAGAGACATGAGAGAGCTATCGATCTTCTCATCCAACTCTCAGCAAGAAAGCGTATTTCCCAAGTGTTTATTTCTTTTGTGTACAAATCATTGGCCGTTCTTAAAGGATATTTACTTGTGTAGCTGCTTTTAGCTGGTCTGTTGAAACTTATTTGGGCTCCTGGGAACAGTTTTCGCCCTGATGATCCCTTCAGGCAGACCAGGCTCTGTACAAATCCCATGTAGTTAACTGGAGCTGGCAGACCATAACTTTATCCAGGGCTGATAAACGATAAAGAAGTGCTTTGAGGACAGACTATAAATGGTGATTAGCTCCCCTCAGAAAATTTTCTGAGTCGGTTCACGTGTTTTCTGCAGCTTTACGCCCCAAAGGTCATCATTTAGTTTTGGCAGTAATCCCAGAGGATCACGAAAGTACTTCACCAAATTATAAAATGGACCCTAAAATGTAATAAACATCATCAGAAACGGTGTTAAAGTGTTTTTTTTTAAAACTGTGGGCCAAATCGACAATCCACGTCCAGCTGGCAGTTGACGGTCCAACTGTTAGCCTCACACTTTCTAATCCCTTATCACCTCCCTTTAGCGTCTTCGGAGGGAAATTTGGAAACACTTCTTAAAGAATTTCTTGAACTCTGTGTTAAAGATTGTGTAGATGATGGGGTTTAGAGCGCTGTTGACGTAGCCCAGCCAGGTGACGGTGCTCATCAGAGCGGGAGGGATGTCACAGGTCAGACAGATGGCTCGCGTCGTGTGCACCACGAAGAACGGAGTCCAGCAGAACAGGAAGCAACCTGCATGCAATGGGAAGATTAGACTTGGTCATTCGGGATTTATTGTACATAATAAGATGCAGGCGTTTGTAACAAATGTGACAAATTCACTTCTTCATGGAGCTTTGTGCCAGGCGTAAAACTAAATATTGTGACCATAAGTCACAAAATCTGTGACCATGCGTGTCTGGGGATTGTTAACCAATTAAGGCATTATTATTTGCCATCTTTCTCGTTTTTGTTGGCAGGATCAGTAGAATTACATAAATCAACATTGTGTATACTGTCAGAGGGCTCAAAGCAATTAAAATATTGGCACAGTAATTTTCTTATCAAAGAGAAAAATCCGGTTTCTCCTTTGGGTTTTGTAGACAACTTAGTTATTTGGAAAAAGTCCAACGTGGTTACTTCTGCTCCTGTAGTTAGTTTTAATCCAAACTTTCTGTATTGAGCTGTGAGCACTGTACCGTGTATCACAGCAAACTGTGAACTACTGTCGGGAGGGCAGGAATTACTCAGACCTTGCAAACTTAAAGGGACTCTATTATGCCTTTCCTATAGTGTGTTATAGGTTTTTTATATTTAAATGTTTCACTATGTAACACTTCTGCTTCTATTGGTTTGCGCTTCAACACATTGTATGTTATAGGCTAAGGGGCAGGACATCTCTAAGCGGTTGACCAATCACAAGAGAGTCGGCCAGCTAAACAATCAGAGCAGACTGGGCTCTGGTTTCAGACAGAGGGTGAAAAGAGGTGCTGCGAGACAGGCATTATGAGAAACTTCATTTTAACTAATATACAGTATATATATTGTTGAATAGCTTAATTTGTATTGAAATATAACAGGGCCAATTTATTCCGGTGATTTATATGTTGTAATATTAATTATCAATTTGCAAGTAACTAATAACTTAAGTTATGTAATAAGATGGCAAGTGGAGAAAAAAATAAAATATTAGCCTCACAATGAGCATAAAAATGGGAATAAAAGCTCAAAACGTCNAATCCCAGAACCACACGGGGGGACCTAGTCAATGACCTGCAGAGAGCTGGGACCAAAGTAACAAAGGCTACCATCAGTAACACACTACGCCGCCAGGGACTCAAATCCTGCAGTGCCAGACGTGTCCCCCTGCTTAAGCCAGTACATGTCCAGGCCCGTCTGAAGTTTGCTAGAGAGCATTTAGATGATCCAGAAGAGGATTGGGAGAATGTCATATGGTCAGATGAACCAAAATAGAACTTTTTGGTAAAAACTCAACTAGACGTGTTTGGAGGATAAAGAATGCTGAGTTTCATCGAAAGAACACCATACCTACTGTGAAACATGGGGGTGGAAACATCATGCTTTGGGACTGTTTTTCTGCAAAGGGACCAGGGCGACTGATCCGTGTAAAGGAAAGAATGAATGGGGCCATGTATCGTGAGATTTTGAGTGACAACCTCCTTCCATCAGCAAGGGCATTGAAGATGAAACGTGGCTGGGTCTTTCAGCATGACAATGATCCCAAACACACCGCCCGGGCAATGAAGGAGTGGCTTCGTAAGAAGCATTTCAAGGTCCTGGAGTGGCCAAGCCAGTCTCCAGATCTCAACCCCATAGAAAATCTTTGGAGGGAGTTGAAAGTCCGTGTTGCCCAGCGACAGCCCCAAAACATCACTGCTCTAGAGGAGATCTGCATGGAGGAATGGGCCAAAACACCAGCAACAGTGTGTGAAAACCTTGTGAAGACTTACAGAAAACGTTTGACCTCTGTCATTGCCAACAAAGGGTATATAACAAAGTATTGAGATGAACTTTTGTTATTGTTCAAATACTTATTTTCCACCATAATTTGCAAATAAATTCTTTAAAAATCAGACAATGTGATTTTCTGGATTTTTTTTTCTTTCTCATTTTGTCTCTCATAGTTGAGGTATACCTAGGATGATACCAGGCCTCTCATCTTTTTAAGTGGGAGAACTTGCACAATACTTTTTTGCCCCACTGTATATCACATCGCACAATGACATACTATTCTTGCATATATATGTTAAAATATTCTTTCAGACAGTACCTGTTTAAAATGGAAACTTTTTATTTTCCTTTTTAAATAAATATAAATGTCATGTTCAAACAATACACGAAACAAGAGTATGAAACGCAATTTAAAGGGATCCTATTAAGCTTTTTCCCTTTTCTGTAGGTTTCTGTGCATGTAAATGGACTGCAAAGACTAAAATCCCTGTGTTCCCTCCAGAGGGAGTTTGTTTACTTCCTGATGTAAGACTTGCGTTTCTATTGGCTAGCGCTTCAACACATTGTATGTGATAGGCTAAGGGGCGGGACATCTCAAAGCAGTTGACCAATCACAACAGAGCCAGCCAGCTAACCAATCAGAGCAGACCGGGCTCTGGTTTCAGACAGAGGGTGAAAAGAGGTGCTGCAGCACAGGCAGTATGAGGACAAATAAAGAGCTTTTTGAACATTAAAGCATGGAGACACGTCCCAGTAGAGAGACTACATATACACCTGAACATCAGCAGGAGAGGACTCTTTAAAATAGAGACACTACATACTGATATACACCTGAACATCAGCAGGAGAGGACTCTTTAAAGTAGAGACACTACATACTGATATACACCTGAAAAAGAGCAGAATATGTCCTCTTTAAGATGTCTGATCTCACTAAGTCTCCCTTCAGTACCCTCACATATTCCTGGTTGTAACATCACCTATGCTTGCACTGCAACTTGCTATTATTGCCCACTTGGTGGCACCAGTGGATAAAAGGTGATCTTAGTTGTCTAAAAAACTATTTTCAAGCCATAGTGGTTGTAATGAAAACAAAACAAAATAACTCTTAGAAGCCGAACAAACTTATTTGTATTATTTTTTTCTTAAATCTCTCTTTGAAGTTGTCTACAATCTCCTTTGACTGTATTTCAGGTCCTGACACATTATGGGACACATTCCTCCGATAATGTGTCAATATGCAAGAAGGGAAGATGTGTACCAGTGTCACTGACATAAACACACTCCATGTAAAACACACACACACACACACACACACACACACACACACACACACACACACACACACACACACACACACACACACAGAGAGAGATTCTGATGCAGGCTATACTGTAATGTAAACCCCAACTAGTTAGCAAAGTTGTGGTTAATGGCA